GGCTGAGAATAATTAGCCCAATCTATCCCAAACATTATTTCAACATGGAATCACTATAAAAAGATTATTAATGAGACATTTTCACTTAACTTCAATTGTACGAAGTCTTTGAATTCAGGGTGTATTTCACTCCAGCACTTCACAATTTGGACTAGACCCAAATCAAGTGCTCGGGAACCTCATGTAGCTAGTGGCTACCATATTGGACAGCTCAGGTCCAAAAGATAAGTTGAGAAGATGTATTGCGGCAGTTGATGGAGAATTTACACCGTAGAAGGGGTTTAGTTTCTACAATCAACGAGAAGATACCATGAGTTATTTAGAAGACTGCAATAAGTTGTCAACATGATGAGGCTGGAGCAGTGGTCGGCAAACTCATTAGTCAACAGAGCCAAATATCAGTAGTACAACAACTGAAATTTCTTTTGAGAGCCAAATTTTTTAAACTTAAACTATATAGGTAGGTACATTGTTATTAACTTAATTAGGGTACTCCTAAGCTGGCCTTTGCTAAAAACGGCCTCAATCTGATTGAGGTACGTTCGCTGAGGTAGACCCCTTCCAACTCTCCCATCCACACTCGTCTTGTATCCTTGTTTCGTCTATCTCCTTTCATTCATCCTCTCTATATGTCCACCCCCCCCCCCGCCCCCACTTCTTCTAAATAGACTCGCCCAGGCCGAAAACCGACTTCTGCGCATGGGCAACGAAGTTTCAGTCGCACTGTATGTGCGCGCCAGCACGTGGTATTTTGTGGAAGAGCCACACTCAAGGGGCCAAAGAGCTGCATATGGCTCGCGAGCCGCGGTTTGCCGACCACTGGGCTAGAGGTTAGGGAGGTAAATTCATAGAAATCAAGAGGAAGGGTTGTTTCCGTGCTAAAGAATGGAAGGAGGAGGAGGAGTGGCAGAACTCTGTGACTGACGGAATGTAAACAAATAAGAGAGAGAGGAGCAGACAGCACCCTGAGGTGCCTGGAGTCCCGGAGAACAGTAAGGAAGTGGGAGAGAGATGCCAGTCGGAGAAAGAGGTGGATTTGTTTTCAACCATATAATTTCAGGTGCTGGCAACAGACGCAATGTGGAGCAAGGAGGAACGAGGAAGCCTGGCAAAGCAGCTTTGGGGATGGCTACTACTACATAGAGTGAGCCTTAGAAATGGGTAACAACTGAGGTCGTGAAGGTGAATGGAGATAAGAAAGATTCAAGAATTTAAATTTATGAGTTCCCTAGTTGACAAGCAGGACAAAAAGTTATCAGGCCCTGGCTGGTTTGACTCAGTGGATAGAGCATTGGCCTGTGGACTGAAGGCTCCCAGGTTCGATTCCGGTCAAGGGCACATGCCTGGGTTGCAGGCTCGATTCCCAATAGGAGGGGGCATGCAGGAGGCAGCTGATCAGTGATTCCCTTTCATCATTGATGTTTCAATCTCTCTCTCCCTTCCTCTCTGAAATCAATAAATGCATATATATTTTTAAAGTTACCAGGATGGTAGGAAGAAAGCAAAGAGATCAGGGGAGCCCTGGAGGGGTGGGGAGACAATTGCAAGATGGAAATGGACAGAAAGCAGGAGAAAGTTGGAGGCAGATGAGAACTGAGAAAAGTCCACTGGCCTTTTAGGAAGCCATCTGTAGGGCAGTTAGAACTTTTGTCCGGGCTGAATGAGAAAAAAGAAGGAATTCCATGAGCTGCACTCTCTTTCTAAGCCCCCCAGTCTCCAGTCCTTAGAGCAACAGACGGATGGAAGATGTTTGGATTGAGAAGCCGAGTATTTGGAGCAGACACAGGCCCAGCAGGAATCCTGGCAGAAGACAATAGAGACTAGCAAGGGTGGGTGGAGCTCTGGGTGATGCTTGATTAATGGCCAAGGTAAAGAAAACTAGAGACAAGCCAAGTGAAGGGTGCGGGGGGGTTTCATAGGGTTCAGGACTGAAAACCATTGCAAAACCATTATTTGGTCTTAGTTAAAAGACAAGTGGGGGTTGGGGGGGAAGGCATAGAAAAGATCATTTGTCATTATAAGGTCTTATTGTATTTTTCCAACCACTTTTTCAATATTTTATTGCTTACCTTAAAGGATGGGCAAATATGAAATGTGTCCAGTGGAAAGTTGCCTTTAAATTTTACATATTTTTGAAAGGGAGTGGAGAACAGCGGTGGCCTAAAAGCCCTTGAAACTCTAGGGGCCTGAACTCCAATCCAATCCTTTTTCTCTTTCAAGCCTACTCAGTAATAACGCAAGCATCAGTATCCAGTATCCAACAATCTGGGGGGGGGAAAGTTGGGGGATTTTAGCTTCGTCTTTGCTGAAATAGCTTGGGGATTATGGAGTCAAAATTAGAACTAGTAAGAATCAACTCATTCAGTCTTACAAGTTAAAGTCAATCCCTTATTTGTGAACATGGGCTTTACTTGGGGTTGTATGTATTTGGTAAGTGTAGGAGTCCAGGGTATTCCGTTTATTCAGCTACGAAAGTGTTTTGAAATTCCCTGGAATTTCCTTAGGAGTTCAGACAAACCTAAGTGCGTCTCAAATCTTTGGAGGATGACAACCTAAATTACTCCTGCTGAAATGACTAAGTTGGAATTTCTGTTTCATGCCTGAGGATTCCAGAATCTTGACAGATGACAGCGAAAAGGGATCACTGGGCAGGTAGCTCTGCTGGTTAAAGCGTTGGCTCCATATGCCAAGGTTTCAGGTTTGATCCCCAGTCAGGGCACATACAAGAATCAACCAATGAATGCGTAAATACGTGGAATAACAAATCTCTCTCTCTCTTTTCCTCTCTCTCTCTCTCTCAAAAAAAAAAAAAAAAAAAAGTGATTGAGGTATTCCAGAGAAGGGGAGGTGGAAAAAAGGGGGTTGAGAGCATTACTCAGATAGGAAGAAGTTTCTAACTCCATTCTAAGCAGCAGGAGTAGAGTAGTGCAAAAGGAAATGTGGGTGAAGATGAAGTCAAAATAGCTTAATGCATTTCAAATACTGTATTTTGTCTCTAAATAGTCTATTCTAATTTCCCTCACTGCCATCATCTGTTTTAGAGACTCACGTAGATCTGTGGACGTGCCATTCTTCCTACATCGAGATGTTTTAAAAGCTGAGAAATAACTAAGGATCCGATGAGGGGTTCCGCTAGTCAATAGTTTCAAACAGGAAAAGGAATATGTAGGTCCAAGACTAGCAAGTCAAGATACTCATCAACCATGGAGCTTGTGAGGAAGGACTTATTCATTTTTGCCTAGCGATGAAGTAGCTTTTATGATTCACCGCACAGGAACACAATGTGTTTTTGTTTCAGGAAGTACCCAATTCCGATGGGCAGATTACTAGATAAACTCACAGATTGGCATTCTGACTACATTGCCAATTTCTAAATGTCAAATAGTTTATCCCCAACCATTGTGTTGCGGCCTAATCACAAACTGTCCCGTCAGGGTGGTTAAGTAAAAAGATGTGAGGGAATCTAATCTCTTAACCTTAATAACAGCAACTGCTATTTGAAAAACACAGGTGAAACATTTTAGATCGGATCCCTTCACCCTTAGGAATGAGACAACGTTTGCTGAGTGGTGGGGAGTGTTCGCACTCTTGTGCAACACTTCCTAACCGTTGTGGGAGTGAGTGAATCTGGCGTCAGACTCAATAGTATTAATGTGCCTGTTGTCATTAATGAGTATTTGCACAAGGAATCCGTTTTATGCTGTAAAAATAAGTTCATATTGACAGAGTCTCTATTCCTTAGGACACTCGCTGGAATAGATAATAATGCCCTTGTAGCCATGGTGCTACTTCGACTTCCAGTTCTTTAACGTGGTGGATGACGGCTTCTCCATGTGCGTGAGCTTCAGAAACACTCACTGAAAGTTTGTGCAAGTAGCTTTCTCAGGAGCGAAGCCTCAAACCTTTCATTAGGTTCTGTTGGGAACACATGTCTTAAAGGAGTTAAGAATGATTTAGAATATGACATTAAAAATATACCTGTAATGTGCCCTGGCTGGAGTGGCTCATTTGGTTGAGCATCATCCTGTACACCCGAAGGTTACCGGTTTGATTCCCCATCAGGGCACATGCCCAGGGTTGCAGGAGCAATCCCTGGGAGGGGGCGTGCCGAAGGCAGCCAGATCCATGTTTCTCTCTCCCGTCCTCTCTCTCTTTAAAAATCAATAAAAATATTAAATACATGTGTGTGTGATGCATCAGTATGATTTTGGCGCTTTGCCAACGTTAATAATATTACTAGTATATCCATAAAAAGAAGTTTACCGCTTTTTTAAACAAAATAAGGTAGAACTTTCCAACAAAAAATAACACACATTCACTGTTCAAGTCAGTGTTTTGCCTCCTTTCGGATGAAAATTAACATAGTTGCACACTGTGACTTTCATCTCTCAGAGACTCCTAAAGCAAACAGCAGCACACAGCACGAGAACCTCCATTGTGTAACGTCTCTTCTCTCTTGGAAATAGCAAACGTCATTTTCTTACAGCGCGGCCCCAATGGTCAGGACTACCCTAGTCCCATTATTGGAGTTTTCAAAAATAGCAACCGCACGTTTATAAGCCTTCATGGTGTTTATTGCTAAAGTAGTACTACTCGACAAAGCACACTCATCGGGCATCTACTTATGATCACGATTCTATTTTATCATCTTTCTATCCGTACTTACAAAATCTTCTGAAAATGAAAAGTAAACGCAGCACAAAAACCCCACTGGGAAGAGCGCTGCTCGGAAAGGCCTCTGAGGTGGGGTCATCCCGGGAAAGCGAAAATTTGGGGACTCGCCGCTCCCCGCCCCGCAGGCCCAGCTGCCCAGGCCCGTCGCCCGAGGGGCCGCCCACCGCGGGGATTGGCCCGCGCCGCCGGGAGGTCGGGGCGCGGGCCAGGCGGGGTGGGGGTGGGGAGCGCAGGGCGGAGGCGGGGGGAGTGGGGGTGGGTGGAGGGGGCGGTGCCGCCCAGCCCCGCGCCCCGCCTCCCGCGTGGCTACTGAGCAGGGCGCCCACATGCCCAGCCCGCTTTCTGCAGCCCTGCGGCCGCGCTGCTCTGTGCGTGGACCCGTCCCGCGTCGGTTGGTCTCCAGTCCCCGAGCCGCGGACCCGACCCGCTGCAGCCGCGCACCCTCCACCCGCTGCAGGCGCGGCCCGAGCGCTGCCCAGTAAGTTGCCAAGTCTCCCTCCGGCCTCGCGGAGGGGCCGCAGGCGATGGGGGGACCGGGGCGCCGAGGGCTGCGTCCAGCTGCGCGCAGCTGCCCGGAGTGCGCGCTCCAGCCGCGCTGAGACCGGAGCTCCAGGGGTGCGGGATGGGGCTGCCGCCGCGAACCCCCATCCTTAGGGCTGCGCGTCTCCCCGTCTAGCCCCGAGGCATCGGGGTCCGCGAAGGGCGTGGGCAGCGGGAGCTGGGAGACGACCTGGCACGGCCGCTCCGGGGGAGCCCGTTAGCCACTCTTGTCCAGAGGGTCCCCGGAGGGAACCCCTCTCCGAGAGGGCAGACCGCCCCCCTCCCTTTCTGCACCCCGCCGGGGAGTCCCTGAAGTCGCCTTCCGCTCCCTGGGGGTTCTTGATTTACATATAAAACATCGCTTGGAGTTTTCGCCTCCTAGACCTGCCCTGGACTGGCTGCACAGGTAAAGTGGCCCGCGGTGGTGCTCGGGGTGTTTTAAAGTAAGAGGGTGCCGTCTTAGACCCGTTGGAGATGGGCTCTACTTTTTAAGCCTATTTCATGCAGTTTTCAACCTTGAACTCCAAATGCCATTCCTGATCCTTCTGGAATGACGGGGCCCATCAGCCTCAATAGCCTTCCACCTGGGAACTTGACAACTTCTATTGACACGACGCCCAATCCATGGAGTAAGGTCCGCAGAGATTGTGTCTTAGAGATATTGACAAGAAATAGCTCGCAGGTCATCTAAATGGACACAGTACCTAGATCCCAGGAGGAAAAAAATGTTCAAACTTGCAAGTATTTATGCAGAACTGCTTACCCAGCGTTTAGGTGACAAGACTTTCAGGACTGATCCTAAGATTTCTCTACTCATTTGTACAGAAACACTCCTTTTAACGAGGGGATAGGATCAGATGTTATTCCAAAAGAGCTCTCTGAATCGTGGCTGGGGACCTGGCATATGAAGTTAGAGTGAATGTGCCTCGGTTGGTACTTTCTCATTCTTGCCCCAACTTCAATGGCCTTCCCTCCGCCCGTCCCCCCCCCCCCCCCCCCCCGCCCCGCCTCCCTCAGGATTAATAATAATGATCTCCTCAGCAAATTGCAAACATTTGTGTTTGTGGTCTTTTTCTAGGGAATATAAAGGGTAAGAATATCCATCATATACTCTCTTATGGTTGCTTTTTCCCTTTTGTAATATTAAATCCTTTTTACCCCCTTTTAATTGCACTAAAGCTTAACATGAAATAAATGACTTCTCACTGCAGAAGATCATAGGCGCTTTTAATTTCTCCTTTTACTACAAAGTTGCTAGTGGTCTACTCTGGGAGGCCACACTTGTTAGGATTTTCACATTTTCTCCCTCGCCCCTCACTTGGTTTCCACTGTGCCTTGGTTAGGGAATGCCGTGTCTCTTAAGTCATTTTAATCTCTTAGGATTTATCATGCCCTTGGAGACCAGAGTGAAATCTGGGTGGTATCTGCAAGGACTCCGCTTGCAGCCTCCTTGGCCTCATCCCACGTCAGCACAGCCCTTTTGATTCCAAAGTATCTAATCATTATCGCTGGACTTAGCAAAGGAGAAGGGAGGCTGGGAGGGGAGACCTGGTGGCTGTTGGACTAGAAAAAAAAAAAAAAATCCAGAATACTGTGGAGTGTTTCACCTTGTATTCTCCTCTAGTTCTGTCTTTAACATACGTGCCTGAAGAAGTGTGAAGCTCATGGTTCTCGCTTTCCTCGACGAACCTGCTCACCTTTGCAGGGCAGGCGTGCCTGGGCCCCTTGCTGGATGGCCCCGCGTTTGTCCTCTGCTGGTGCTTCCTGGCTGACGTTATCACTGCGCCTCCCGGCTCTTCTGGCCAGACCGGGAGCCTCATCCCGTGGCTACTGCGTCTCTTTTCAGCCCACTTTTTCACAGGAGCTTTCCCTTTGAGTTTTCCTTTGGGGACGTCTCTATTTAGCCTCGTTTCTGTCTTCCCTGCTGTTTTATCTCCGCCTGCTGCTGCATATCTACTACCTATTCAGAAAGGTATGTACTGTTCGAAGTGTTCAGAACCACCTGCTGGCTTTATTCCGGTGCCCTTCAGCGGCCAACTTTCAGAACAGAACCCTGAAAACACCCCGATGCTGCGGTCTGTTTCCCCAAACAGGATACACACACGTTGATTTTTAAGCACCGGCTTCTTTTACACTACTTGCTGGGTGTCAGGCATTTAGAAAATGAGCAACGCTTGCAAGGGCACATGTTTCTGCCTATTCACATGTTTAGTGCTATGCGCCTCATTTGAATGTTTTGTCATCCAACTGCATGCAGGCATACCTCATCTCACTGTATCACTTTATTGGGCTGCACAGATGTTGTGTTTTCTACAAATGGAAGGCAAGACCCTCCACCTGCAAAAACATCAAGACTCACTTTATTGCAATAGTCTTTTTACTGCAGTGGTCTGAAATCAAATGTGCAATATTTATGAGGCGTGCCTGTAGTAAAAATCCCGGTTGCCTTCAGATTTCAATTATGAGATGCCACCTGTCTAGTGGTTTTTGAAAATCTAAGTGGTCAACTCATTTCTACACCTTTAATCTGAATATTCAAAACTACATAGTTTATAGCCTTGATTAAAAAAAACTAATGACATTGTTTTTTTCATTGTCATCTGTTTTAATAACTTTTCGTGCTGTTGTCTAACACAGCGTGTGGCACATAATGTGTGGCTCCGTACGTGTTTATTGTTGAGTGAATGCCACTGATTTCAGTAATTCGAGAAAGGATGTTGTGTCTGTCTTCAAGTATGTATTTCTCCTCTGAAAATTAGTGCGTCCCTACTCTGTACCAGACACCGAACCACCAAAAGTAATGTGTAGCTCCAGCTTTCGAGGGATTCTGCACCTATTTTTACATTCTGTAAACCCTCCATTGAGGGATTTTAAGGGAAGTTCTTTATTTTGTTGTAATTTTACATAGAGTAACAACACCTATAAACAAATGGCTTCGCATCATCTATATCAGAAAAGAAGTAAGAACACACTCTCTAAGGCAGCCATACCTGACAATGATTGAAATACGTTTTGAGAGGTGCGATGTTAGGTGATTTCACTGTTGTGTGAACCTCACAGAGTGCACTTACCCAGTCCTGGATGGCACAGCCTACTACGCACCTAACTCACATGGTATAGTGTATCAGTCCTAGGCTGCAAGCCTGTACAGCATGTTACTGTACAAAACAACACGAGATTAACTCAGAGAAAATGATGCAACCCAGGGACACGGCAAACACAAGAAGTGTGAGGCTGCTGCCAGTGTAGCAAGGTATACTGTTGGCAGCAAACAATTTTTTGTAAGTAGAAAGAGTACATCCTAAAACAATGATAAAAGTATAATATAGTAAATATATAAACCAATAACACAGTCGTTTATTACCACTATCAAGTATTATGTACTGCACATAATTCAGCACAGTACCAGCCCCACCACAAACACGTGAGAGATGGATTGTGCTATGACTGTATGATGGCTGCACCATCACTAGGTGAGAGGAATCTTTCAGCTCCATTACAGTCTCACAGGACCACGGTGGTATATGCAGCCCGTCGCTGACCGAAACATCGCTAAGCAGCACGTGACTAGATGAAGATGATGCCACTTAGTAGTCCATCATCAAAAGCTCACATGCTTGGTGTTTCTGTTTAAATGGCAGTCACAGATTTGTCCTGATGCTTCTCTTATTTTCCTTTAATTGCCTTTCTGGCCATTATTTCAGAAGGATTGTCAGTGATTCTGGGACTCTTTTTGACTTTAAATATTTCTGAGAATGGCCTCCACTGCCACTAGTTAACTTCCTCATTGGTAAGTACAATTAGTATTGACTTTAAGATGTTAGTTAATGTGGTTTCTATTTAAAAGGCTGTGTTCCATATATTCTGTCCTTTTTTTTATTATTCTTTTAGGAGGGTTCATGATTATATATATGCTAGAGGCCTGGTGCTCGAAATTTGTGCACTGGGAAGCGGGGTGTCTCTCAGTCCAGCCTGTGCCCTCTCGCAGTCCAGGAGCCCTCAGGGGATGTCCGACTAACAGCTTAGGCCCGCTCCCCATGGAGAGTGAGCCTAAGCCAGCAGTCGGACATCCTTAGTGCTGCTGCAGAGGTGGGAGAGGCTCCCGCCACCGCCACTACTCTCGCCAGCCGTGAGCCCGGCTCAGGGCTTCTGGCTGAGTGGTACTCCCACTGACCACCAGAGGGCAGCTCCTACGTTGAGCATCTGCCCCCTGGTGGTCAGTGTGCATCATAGCAATCAATTGTTCTGCCATTCTTTCGATTTGCATATTAGCCTCTTATTATATAGGATTTTTGAAATCTTTATTGTGAAAGTATTTCATATATCCTCTTTCTCCCCCATTGACCTCTCCTAGCCCGCCCCCACCCCTACCCTAGGCCTTCACCACCCTTTTGTCTGTGTCCATGAGTTATGCATATATGTATACAAGTTCTTTGGTTGATCTCTTCCCACCCACCCACCCTCCCCTGCCTGTTCTTATTTCAAGGTTTACTTTGGATCTGTCTCCTCTGGGGAGTCCATGGTTCTCTGTTTTTCTGGGTGTGCATGGTCAGGATATATTGTTGAAAATCTTGGGGTTTCTTGCATCCAAGATTGCATCATCAAGCTGGAGTGTCCTATGTGATGATTTAGTGCTGCCAGTGTCATGTATTTAATTGTATGCCTCCTCCCTACCCCACTGCAAAAAAGAAACCAAGTTAAAGACTAGAACCCCCACCGCACACCCATTCCCGTGCTGCACGCTCACGCTCACACCACTCTTTACAACCTGAGCCTCATCTGGGATGGGGCAGTGGGCCGATGATGTAAGAACATTTCATAACCTTTCTTCCAGGAATTGTGGGGAAAAAAGAGCCCTGACTGTTTTGTAGTCATTTTTCGCATATTTTGTGAACAATACACAACAAAGAATTCTTATGTCCCTTTTGTTTCTGGCTA